AAATTTGAGTAACATTCAAGGCAAGCAAACCCTTCTGAAGGATAAGCACAAAAAAGTGGTATTTCTCCCCCTACAATATGTCAGTAAGTGCAAAAATCTAATTTGTTTCTGTGAAATTCTAACAGACTGATCAGCCTGTTCAAGTGTCTAAATACTATTCCAATTAACCTCTAGAAAAAATGTATTTATCACTATGATTTTAGATGGAATAATCTGTATAGAATTAATTATAGTAGTCTTTAATACACCCTACAACTTTCAAGCAAAGCTAAGCTCCGAGTCATACAGCTTTGCTATTAAAACATGCTAACAAATCAGATGGAAATACGATACAAACTTACAGTGGTTCAGTTTTGTAGCTGAAAATTTGCTCTATCAGATAGTTATTTTACTCTTTGTATTGGTTGTCATTTCCATGGAAATAAGTAGGAAGCATTACTTTTGGAGCAACTTAGGTATATGCAGCACAAGACAATTCCTCTTTACTTGATGTGGCCTGGGCAACCTTGAAAGGTTGGACATTCATGCTATAGAAGATCTTCAGCACTAAGCAAGGAAATCACCTTTCAAGAAAGAATTTCACAAGTACTATCCTTGTGCCAGAGATACACAGGTGTGAAAGAATGACTGAGCCAGCAGAATTGGAGAGCAGCCACTTCTTGTGGCCAGAAGCTCATTGGTAGGGATGATTCTAAAAATCCTTTCTGCTCTGAGGAACTACATTTACACACCAAGCTTTCAGCCTACAAACAGATGGAAAGAAAGTCAGAACAATACGCATGTGGGAACCTGCTTCTCTCAACAGAAGATCTCAGCTCTAACCAAGATAAATGAGATTTTAAAAAGAGAGATAAGGAGTCTCCTTAGAACACTGTTAAGAAAGAAAACCCATTGTACAGTGAACTGTGAATTTTGGCTGAGAGCTACCACAAAAATGATTTTTCACAGCACACAGGTTTTCCTCCAGAAAAAGCCATAGATGCCTGGAAAATGTACAAACACACACACACTATCACATACACACACACACACACATATATAATTATCTTTTTCTGCTTAAAATACTTCATTCCTACTGAAATGCCTGCAATATTAGAAGACTAAGCAAGCATTAGTTTTCTTTCCAGAGTTACCTGTAATGGAAACAAAGTATTTCTAATTCTAAGATATTTTCATTAAACTTCAAGGCAAGAACGTACCTCCCTGATACAGCACTTAGATGTCATACAACTGTCTTTTCAAATCCAAAATACGAAACTAATGAATTCAGAGCCTTGTTCGTTTCAGGAGGAAAAAAAATTCTAACTGCAAATCTGAAAAGAAAATAAAAATGGAATTTCTTTCTTATCATATAAAGGAGCTGTGTTTAACCTCAGTATGAGGAGACAAAACCTTCAAATTCAAAGCCAGAATAGCCCTTTACTTTCCTATTTATATTAGTTTTACTCAGATGTGCACTGTGAGTACTGCAACCAGTTACAGCCTTCACCTTGAGTCACTTCACATTCCTGCTGCCAAACGTGATAGATCCTTTTCCTTCCACTAGCTTGATAAAAATCCAAGCTGTGGTAGTTGGTATTCATACAATTTCATTTTTCTGTATCAGTGGAAATAGAACTTCTGCAACTGTTCTCTGAAGAATAAGGATGCTACAGTACAGAGTAATGTGCACAGATACATAAGGAAGTGAAAAACAGTTACCTAAAGGACTTTGTTTTTCTTGTTGTTTTACACAAACAGGAACAGATTCAGTGACACAGACTGATGGACAAACAGGCTAAGACTCTTTGCTTGAACACAGAGCATTGATATTCAGAAAAAAATTCAGATGCCCTCTTCCTCAAGATAGCACTGCACACAGGTTCCCAAAAGGGCACTGCTACTGTTTTCCTCGAGAGTATTACAGATGTACGAAGTCCAGCTGCAGATATTCAATTGCATTAAAACACAAGCAAAGCAGCTGCTAAAATATTATGGCAAACTAAACAGTAAAGCGAACCTCATCATTCAAAAAATTTTGTCCAGTCATTAGTGGTAGAGGATAATTAAATGGCATTGCTTTTCTTGCAATTGTAGTTGAAATACTGTGAAACTTGAAGAAAAGTAACAAAACCTTTCTGTGCATATTTGCTGTATGAGTTAATCTCCGTGTTGCAGACTGAGTATCAACTATGTTGTTTGAGGCAGCAACATTTCACAAATTATAAAGCATCCCCAAACACCTTCCTCCTTCATCAAACATTCTTAAACCTTTCTTCTTTCACAGAAGCAAAGACAGAAAACATACTGAGCCAGGTCATTCAGACCAATTAGTGTTAAACAGGATATGTCTAGTGCAAAAAGACCACACCTTCAGCAAGAACGACATTCCCAGGTCAAGTGGAAAAACATACACCTAATAAAAAATTCTAAATTGCTAGTATGAAATACTATGCAAGCCTTCTCTACTTTTTATACTTAGCAATTAGTTTTCAAATATGACAACACAGCTATGAATGCTCTTTTCCTTGTCCTGCACTCTCACTGGAGGACTGGTATAACAGCCTGGCTCTCTTGACAGTCTGCACTGTCAGTGAAATTTTGACTCCAGGGGAGTCAACACTCCACATGGGTCAAGATTTCACAAATCATTAATAAATGTAAAATACATTAAGGAACACATATGAGTACTTCTAGGTATTAGAAGTTTACTTCAACTGTGAGAAAGCATTGCAACAGCTTGTTTTTCTTGTCACATTAAAGGATTAAGAAAGCTATTAGAAACACCAGGCAAAGTAAACGATAAAATAGATCAAATTTTTTTCTGACATAAGCATTCCTCTATGCAGACTGATACATTCATAAAAGAACAGCATTTCATTTTTCCTTCATCAAACATGACTTTACACGGTAACTTAAACATCACACAGTTCTGTTCCGCATGCACACTCATTTGACTGTTTTCTCAGTATTTTAACATACTGTAACATCTACCATAATGCAGATGAACGGAGCAGTAAGATGACGTAAATCTGAAATCTACAGAAGTTTGAATTACTAGAAAGCTGATATCAAGATAAATTTTTTAATTTTTTTTATTTGACATAATTTTGATTTGGCTACTCAAATTCTTAGTATCAACACTTAGATAAATAGTGAATTTACCAATCAGTGAAATTCTCATGAGTTTAAAGAAGCTTGGACTCCATTCTGTTTTAGATTCCAAGTGCTTTTGAATTTAAATTTTCACTGCTAATAATTTCAGAATTATTTCATGATAGGTTTCAGGTTTTTTGCTTTTGTTACATACATTACACTGCAAGTGTGCAATGCCTCCACTGAAGTCAACTGTCATACTGTGGATTGTAATCTCCATGGATTAATTCACTAATGTCATTCCCTGTGGTAATAAGCTATCCTCATGAAACTATTTCTCCTTCAGTAAGGAATTAAACCTTGATTTAATAACAAGGATTCAAAACAATGGCAAAGCTGTTGAAATGCTGTGTTCTTCCAATGACTGTGTATTGAAAACAGAATAAGTAAAAAACATCACAAGGTTCTGCTTCCAACAGTTAAGTTGTTCTTATTTTGAGGAATGTGCTTTGCCAAGTTGGTTAACTTTAACACCTTTGTGAGTGGAAACCGCCCTTATAATTTTGTTCCCTTCTCCCAACACTGCTCTTCAATCATTGATTATTACTATGAGTGATCAATGCAGCATGGAAAAAAAAGTGTAGTTATCCAAGCTCCTTTACCAGTCAGCCTCATAATCTGATCCTTAAGGAGAAGGTATTAAAGAGTTACTGGTTTGTAAGTAAAATATATTTAACATATTAACTGCGTTGTTGATGCATTAATAGCAGTCACAGTTAACTACATATAAGGCAAGATCATTAATCATTCGCATGGTAAAGCACACCAAACCATATTCAGATTATGTTAATAGTAATAGAAAATGGTTAATTAGCTGATTTTTTTTCCAAATTTATGTTTGTAAGACATTGGGTTATTGCAATCTAGTTTCAATTTTGTATATATTTTTCTGCAGAGACTAGACAGTATTTCTAAGACAAACCATGAAAACTCCGAAGTTTTATAACCTTTTTAGTGCCATATCCCTTCCTTATGCCATATAAATGACCCAAAAGAACAACAGCTCAGTCAGTTTTCTGAGGACTTCCTTAGTGAAAATGAAACCAGCAGAAGGAGAAGAGCTTACTGAAGACAGAACCCAAATTCCTTGCAATAAAATGACGTAAATCCGAAGTGCATTGAAGTTTGAATTACTAGAAAGCTGACATCTCTGCTTGCTGGAGGCAGAACCCAAATTTCATCCTAAATCTGGAACACACTTCCAGATTTCTAGATTGCTCCATGTACATGATAATGGATAAAAAGGAATGTAATTGTTCTAGTGTTAGGGATCCTAGTTTCTAGAATTTTTCTTTTTTTTTTTGGAGGGGGGGGAGGGGAGGGGGTCTTCACAGGCAAAATACCACTAAACTCTCTACTGTGTTTTAAATCGTGTCTCAGACATACCAAAACTGGCATAATACTTTACATCCGATGATTCCTCCTGTTCTCCTGGACAGGAAAATTTATGTCTGATTTCCTTTGTGGTACATAAGAATGAGAACAATCACACTGAAGTCAGCACGGTCCTGACAGAAGCCAGGGAGTCAACTGACAGAGTATGGATATACAGACAGGACTTATCTGTGCTTCCATTTGGCCTGTGCCATTTGATTGGCTTGATGTTTCCATGTAGAAGAGACAGAATTATCAGTTCATTCTGAATTAACAGACAGGACAGCACTTTGACCTCTGAGATGCGTTACAGAGTTTTCCAGGTGGCACGAAGTAACCACACAATTAGCAAGTCCTAACTCTGAAGCATCACCACAAATGTTCCTTATATGTGATAAACCTGCATTTGAAATGCTGTCATGCAGAAATACTTCTATATCACATTTTCACATACAATTAATGATAGCATGGTAAAGACAGACAAAACTTACATAGTCATGAAAGGCTTTTGCTTCACTTGAATGTTCACATGTTTCTCGTCTTTCTGGAGCTGCACAGTAGAGATCCCAAAATACACTGCAAGTGAAGAAATTATAGATATAGTGAGAAAATCACTGTGAGAAAATCATTACTCCAGTAGATTTTACAGTGCACATCACACATGCACGTGTATGTGTAGAAACAGATACATCCCTTCCTTACCAACAGTTGAAAGCACTTACCTTTATGAAATAATTTACGCTGGTAAAACATCTCAAAGGAATCTAAAACTACTGAAAATATGAACTAAAAAGCTATTCTAATACTCAGTGTCAAAGGGTATGAAGCTCTGCATTTAACCTTGAACCACTGGCGACTGTTGTGATTTACTTCCACAAAGCACTGGAAGAAACAGACACATAGTAATAACATAAAAAGGCATGAAACTGAGGAGAAAACTGGGGATTTCTTCTGAAGTTCAATACCATGCCTTCAACAAAAGTTCCTAGAGACGCACATGTATGGAGAAGAGCAGGAAATGGATGGGTATCTTTCCTTAGGAATGAAAAGAAATAATGGTGGCTACAGTCATTCTTTGTCCTATCACTCCCCTTCAAACAGTTACACATGAATTCATCCAAACACAAAGTTTCTAGAATGAAAATATGTGTATACTAGAACAATCGTAAGAACACAATTTGTCAAGAGTTTAATATTACTTATTACTTACCCTAGCATCGTAATAGGGAATAGTGAAAAACCTGAAAACTCTGCTGCCGACAATCAAAATTAAGATAATTCTCTTGTACCTTCACAGGTACAAGAAACAACTAGGCTTTCAAATAAAAAAAATAATAAAAACAGAAAGGTCAATGAAGAATATGCCACATTTTACAGAACTGCATAAAAAACTTGGGTTTTTGCGTTCAAATGGAACTACTTTAAAACTTGTAAATTGCTGTGCTCCTGACAGCTGGGTATATTCTCCATAATTTTGTATTCTTGTAAACACAGACATATTGGACATATTCAAATCATACAACAATATTTATTAATATAAATACAATGGCTAAATAACATTGATTATGAGCACTCTTTTCACCCTGCAAACTTTACAGTTACAAATGTGTCTCTTGCACAATGAATTTTTACAAGAGCAGATAGTGATAGGACAAGGGGGAATGGTTTTAAACTATTAGAATATAGATTTAAACCAGATATTAGGAAGAAATTTTTCACTCAGAAGATGGTGAGGCCCTGGCACAGCTGCCCAGAGAAGCTGTAGGTGCCCCATCCCTGGAGGTGCTCAGGGCCAGGTTGGATGGGGGCCTGGGAAACCCATCTGTTGGGTGGCAACCTGCCTACAACAGAGAGGTTGGAACTGGGTGAGGTTTAAAATTTCCTCCATCCCAAACCATTCTGTGATTCCATAATTGCATGATTCTGTGGTAACATACATTGAAAACTGCAAATTATTTGTCTGCCCATACGCTGAGCTGACAAAAACTATGCAAATACAGATACTGAAACACCAAGCCCATGCTAACACACACTGAGTTTCAAAAAGGCTGCTGGTTTGGGTTCATCTAATTACTTCCATATGCCATACGCATTAATAAAGTGCAGGCAAAAAAAATAAAGAAGCTCACTTCTATATGCACAGTCACAATGTCTGCATATGTTAGGTAATATACATATGTATTTCTTTCTCAAAGTGCAATTATTTGGGATTTGTATATGGATCCTTCAAATTCAGTTTGCCGAAAGATGATGAAGAAAGAAGTGCAGGCCATATTCTTTCAAAGATGCTGTCTTACTGATTCACTATGTAGTATCTGTTTTCCTGTATCTTATATCTGTGCCTTTTCCTCTACCTTATTTTCTATTCATTCATTTCTTTATAAGAAAATGACCACCTCCACATTCTTTTAACAATGTTCACTTGAGTTTCTTGCCTGCAGCTGCTGGAACTTGCAATTGTTGTATTCTAAAAATCAGAGGAAAAAGAATTTCACTTACCACCACCAGGAGTGCAAGAATCCTGGCGGCTCCCCCAGTGTGATGTTTTTTTCCCATCTTATCTGAAACAAAACCATAAAAACACACATGTACACTTTTGTGACTATTGCGACTAAAAAATCTTACTTAATAATAAAAAGGAAGAATAAAACATTCTGTAGTTATGAAAGGCTTCAGCATCATCAATCTGGATGGACATAATATGTATAAACCATTTTAGCCAGTGACTTTTATTTTGGGAAACTGTATTTTAGAACGTTTTCATAAATTGTGAAAATAATTTTATTAAGGACATACTCTGATCACTCCACCACTGAAACATACTTTTCTAAAACACTGTCCAGTTTGCACTAGGAGAAACCTAAGACACAGAACTAATGTTACTGATTCAGCAGGTGGCAGTCTTCTCTCCACATTCAAAACTAGCCAATGCTTCAGTATTCTCAAGGAGTGCTGTACTGTTAGAGGTAGTGAGACAAATACACCCCAACTACAACCTGTTCTCCCACCACCCAGTGAAAGTGTAAAACTAGTTTGGCTTACTTTGTCTGCACTGGCAAACGTTCTTGAAAAGACACACACTGTCTATGAGTTTTTTCCCACTTATGAAGTCTGGTTTATTCAAAACTGTTTCCAAAGAAAATGCAATTTAGGAATGTTTATACCCTTAACTTCACACTTTTATTGTTTGCAGTTAACTCAGTAGAAAACATGCCATGAGAGTATCCAGTCTCTCAGTAATCCTTTACAAATGCTCTACCTTAAATATTATCAACAGTCATTTTATTAATGCCACATAGTTTTCCTAAACTATAACAGTATATAGTTTGGAATACAGTAAGCCCAGTATAATTGCTTCAGGAGTTTTGCTGCAAACAGATTCTACAACTTTTACATAACATTGTACAGAAGACTGTACAGAAGACAACATCTTGTTAAAATAGAGTGGAAACCAGAGCATTACAAACATTTCAAAGTCCTGCAGTTACAACTCCACACAGCACTATTTCCTGTCCAGTTCTGTAAAAAACAAACCAACAAACAAACAAAAAAAAACAACTTAATTAAAACTCTATTGTTTGAACACAAGCCATATTCCACCCAACAGACATAAGGAATAACTAGCAAAATAATAATAAAATTTTAAAAATTCAATCAAATACCTGAACAGTCTTACATGAAAGGCGTTTTAAGTTTTACATAAAAACAAACATAAGCTTACTAGAAAAGGTGGACATAGTGTTCATACTGCAATGAGCACTGAGATTTTTCTAAATAGAAATAAACTTTGACTCTCAACTCTGACTTGATTACCACTCTGAATTGTTAAGAAATTTAAACAAGAATGTTCTTTCAGGAATAAATATACACTTCATACATCTAAAAATGTTATTTGCACACATATCAAGCAACCTAATATAATTTCAATGTTACATAGGTCATTTGGAAGCATTTTCATAGAAACTACAGGAGGTACAAGGAGCACAATAACACCATTTGATATAATAAATTTTCAGCTACACAACACTATTTTTCAACACGGTCACCACCATCTATTGCTATGCCTCTTTGCCAGCAATTAACAAGAGTCGGCATGCCACACTCATAAAAATCTGCAACAGTGGAGGTGGCCCACTGTTTCACAGCTGCTATGACAGCATTGCCAGCATGGCTTAACCAAGGGCAGATCATGTTGTCCATCTGTGATGGAGTGGACAAAGGAAGGGCAACTGAAGTTGTCTACCGGGACTCGCATAAGGCCTTTGACATGGTCCTGCGCCACATTCTTACGTCTAAACAAGAGAAATATGGATTTAAAGGCTGGATTATTAGTTGATAAAGAATTGGTTGGATGGTTGTAGCCACAGGGCTGTGGTCAGTGGCTCTACATCCAGGTGAAGGCCTGTCACAAGTGTGCCTGTCTTGAGATCAATGCTCTTCAACACTTTTATCAACGACATAGACAGTGCGATTCAGCATACGCTCGGCAAGTCTGCAGATGACACCAAACTGAGTGGTGCAGCTGACAAAACAGAAGGAGGATATTTCATGCTAAGCTCAAAAAGTGAGCAGATGAGAACATAAGGACCAATAACCAATGACCATAACAAGGCCAAATGTATGGTGTTGCACTCGGGTCAAGGTGATCCCAGATGTGAGTACAGAGTTGGAGAAAAACTCATTGAGACCAGCCCTGGGAAGACAGATTTAGGGGTTCTAGTGGACAAAACTCAGAGGGCACTCAGCCTGGATGATCAGCTGTACCCTGGGTTGCATCAGAAGAAAGGTGGCCAGCATGGAGAGGGAAGTGATTGTGCCCCTTCGCTCTTGTAAGGCTCCACCTGGAGTACTGTGTCCCTCACTACAGGAAGGATGCAGAGCAGATAGGGCGAGTCTAGATGAACTCACGAAGATGGTAAAAGGGCTGGAGCACCTCATATATGAAGAAAGGTGTAAGAGTTGATGATCCCTGGAAATCCGTAAGGATCACTCCTTTTCTATCCCAAGAAACAGTGCACACCACTTTACTGTCTGAGGGCTGCATCCTCTTTTTTCTTCAGTGGGGAATTCACATGTTGACACTCCATGGACCACTGTTCTGATTTCAGCTCATAGTGGTGACACCAGGCCTCATCATCAGTAACGATGAGATCCAGGAAACTGGCACCTTCAGCATCGCATTGTCAGGATCTCAATAGGTTCAGACAAACCTGCATACGTTGCCTTTTCTGTTCCTGTATGAGCATTCATAGCACTCACCTTCGAGTTAGTCCTATGTTGGCATCACTGTTTTCAACTCACTGAAGCTTATGTTCAGCTCCAAACAGAGTTCCCTGGTATTAATCCACCAATTCTTGCGGATGAGCTGACAGAGGTGCTCTTCATTCTGTGGTGTGACAGCTGTGCGTGGCTGTCTAGAACGTGACTTATCTTTCACGTCACTGTTGCCATTGCAGAAATGCACCACCCTACCAACTCGCTGTGCTCGCATCTACTTGTCTCCGTAAACATTCAGCAAGCATCAGTGAATTCCAGTGGGTGCCATTTTTTCCACATGGAGGAATTCAGTAGCACACATTTGCTTCATACTCGCTTCCATGTCAACACCATTCTGTCAGACTGCTCCTCTGCTGCCATCTGCTACGTGGCAACAAAATGTAACAGGGTATTGTTGGAAGGTTCAACCTCTACTGCCATACCACTAACATCCACCTCTACTATTGTGAAGCAACTAGGGAACAATAAGAAGTATTACTTTTGGAGTAGCTCTTGTACACAAATACTCAGAACTACTTAAAAATAATATTGCTGCTTAAAAAATATACAAAAACGAACTCCAGGCATTATAACTTCTATTGATAAAACTGGCAGAACAAACCCGTTGCATGGCTCTTAACCCCACCACCACACCACTTAACAGCACTTAATATAGAAATTGTGGAAATCCTGCCTGTTAAAAATTGAAAGATATAAACAAAGCCAAAGCCACCAACAAAGTCTTATAAACAATTCAAACGAGCTCCTCTGGGGCGTAGCCATTTCCCACATGCATTCAGCATGACTTAGGACTTGCTAGGAAGTTTCAAAAGCAACATAATGGAGAGGTGCAACATATAGTCAAGACTAATTTCTTTTTCCTGAAGTCTCAAAACTCATTAACTTAAGAGTAAAGTTTGTGTTTGCACAGAAAGGCCTCACTACATCTAAGCAGTATTCTTCCTTTTCAAAGCAAGGCTCAATGAAAATACCTTATTCATAGGTCTTATATTTGTCTTTTTCAATAGAATACAACTTATCCTCATAAATGCATTCAAAGAAGGAACCTGACTGGAAGGTGGAAATTTTGTTTTAACTTCAATAAACACACATGGCAGGTCTTAGTCTACCTGAACAAATAGATAGAAAAGAATTATGAAACATTATAAAATTAAAGCAAGAATACTCTTATTATCATCTGTATCAATAAACAGCTTGTAACAGCTGGGAAACACCTGTCTTCCTGGTCTAGCCAAGAAAATGAAATTACTCCTCCAGTGCTAGAACCTAACTTCAAGGATAGAAAATGCATATGCTAAGAACCTGATCTTCAAGAAAACACAGCAGTTGCCACACCAAAGAAAAGATTCAGGAGCAGAACAGTTTATTTTGTTTCAAATATTAGCGTACCCAATCTGAATAGCTCTATACAAACCTCAGCAACAAATGGCATGGCTTAGCTAGTAGCACAAGTGCCTTGCCATTTTGCCAGCTGTATGACAATTACACATTTTGGGATGAAATAGCTATTGAGTTACTTCCATCTATTACTTCATGACATGTTTCCTGAAAGGAAGTTAATATGTAGAGCAAAAGACAAGGATTATAGGTGTTTCCAACATTCAAAGATTCAGGAAAAGGCCAGTTGAACAGGTGGTCCTACATTTTGGAGACTACGGCAACAAAGTTTTGAAGGGTGTACTCAACAGGGACCACAACAAAATGGAAAGCACCGTTTGCCTTGTAAATAAGAATGACTAGCACAGATCTTACTGACCTGTGAACAGCTCTACAAAATATATACCAGATACAAAGCATTACAAAATTGAAGTCATGCTTAAGACAACTATCCCCAAGTCATATAAGTGATTTTATGATACCCAATTTAAATTTTCTTCTCTCTTTTTCTTTCCATTAATCTTACTCACTTTACTTGCTAGATCTTGAAGAAAGGGACATTAATCTTTGCCATCTATACTCTTTAATTATCACTGATAGCTGTGCTGCTCAGATAGTCCATATGTGTTTATTTCTGTTTTGTCCAAATACTCTGGGTTAGAGCAACTTTGAACTGAACAAGTTATAAAGAAATCCATCCAAATTATTCTGGCAGGTGCAGACTGCCAGAATAGAAAATGCAGAGAGCCCAAGTAGCCATACTTTTTTAAGAAGTGATAAAGACAATACAAATTTCATCCCATGCAACCAGGACATCTCCTACACCTCCTGAAGTGCTCTCCCATCACCTCAATCACAACAGAGCAGTTGCTTCCCATCACCCATGAGTAAGAAAAACACAAAGAGACACGGAAGACTGCAAATTTCACATCACCATAAAGTTGTAAGAAGACATTTTTTTACACTGCTCAACTGCTGTTTTGTTATTTTCATCCTGTCTTGTAATTTTCCTTCTCTAACAAGAACAGTGACTCACATGGGGTACAGAGTTGGGCTAAAGCTTTTATACTGTGGTTTCCTCCTTTAGACAGAATGGGCATCACGATACAAGGTTCTATTTACTCCACAATAAGCTACTTTCTTTTACTCGCCATTTAACTTTGTGTTTAAGGTTACTTTCTCCCAGTCATGTTAGAGTACTTTTTTCTCAGCCTGAATCTCATTGCATCATTTTAATCTCAAATATTATATTTTCCAGGCTTCCCTGTAACAATGGTAACTGCATTTGGTTCCAACATGTAGCCATTTACAAACATTATTAGCATCATCTTTGTCTTTACCAATTCAATACACTACAACTATATGTCTCTCTACATTGCAATATACTATATTTTATCTCTTACCAATGTGGGGGTAAATTTCAGTATCAGACAGATTTGGAAAGATTTTATACATTCTCAAATTACATTTGCTCAGACCTGAGAGTTTCTCTATAATCTGAGACTGAATTAGGTTTTAAATGCTAAATTTCAAGATACTGTATTGAGTGTTTTCCTGAAATCCAAATGTCATACCAGTTACACTCCTGCCAGCTGCTCATTTCACACATAAATGATAAAAAACAAAATGAGCAAAATGAATCTTGCAACATTGCATTATTTACAAATGACAACTGTTTCCAGGAGTCAAGATATTTCTTATTTTTTCCATTGCTTTACTAAGGAGAAAAAAAAAACAATTGTCAGAACAATTTTTTAAAACATAAACTGATACTACAACAATCCTACCCCCTTTGCCCCTCGTTCCATGAATTGTCTATAAATACCAGAAACAGCCTTCCTATACTCATTCTCCCTTCTTCAATCTCCAAAATGTCATCACTAGTGTAGAAATTTTATTAGTTTCGAAGGAGGATCAGTTGAAGCAGCAAATTTTCCTACTACAACATGCTGCCTGGTTTTCTCACTTTTGCTCACTATTCAACTACTACCACTATTTTATATGTTCTCATCAAAGACGTATTAAAAACAATAATAAGCCCCAAAGACCTCAATAGATTTGGCATATATTCGGGTACTCTTGCATCCCAGAATAAATGTAGAATACTCAAGAAAATTGATTTACTTACATCTTCAAAATATGTACATAACTACAATGAAAAATGGTAACTATTATGCGATAGTAAAAATTGCATCAGAAGTGAAGAGTGCTTAAGAAACAGAACATAAGTGGTTACAGACGTAATGGCTTCACTAGATGAAAAGAAGCTAAGCACTCAGAAGCATGGTAGGAATATGCAGTGAGGTTAGTGTAAAATAGCTGCTTGCCATGTATTTAGAAAGGATACATCATTCAGATTGGAGATTCCAACAGTATCACGAAGGAGTACAATGGATGTGCTCTCCATCACCCACATTTATTACAGAAAATAGATAAATCTTTTTTCAGTGTAGCACCAAATCAGACAACATGGCTAACAAATCACAGCAAAAGTAATTATGCAAAGGCAAGCAAAATGACATGGCAAACTCACTTTTCGCAAAATCAGAAGTCTATGCTGATCAACATAAACAGACATGCAAAATTGTCATTGCTGTTTATTTTAAACCAACACATTTAATTTCACTTGCACACACACTGGACAGATGTGCAAGGGAAAAAAAGAGACAAAGAAAACATACCTCCGATAAAAATGTCTGGGCAGATTTCTGTGCTCCTACATGGAGCAGATATTCATATACGTACAGTGCTAACCTGAAAAACAAACAAACAAAGAGACAGTATTTAAAGTCGTGTACTTGTTCGTTTCGCTTTTTATGAAGATTGGATTTCAACAGGTTTGAGTCGCATGCTATTTCCTTTCAGAAACTACTATGTACCAAAAATGTCAAATCTATTGCTCATAACAGAACTTTTAAACTACACATACAGGTCAATCTGAGCTGAGTTGTTTAAATAGAGGTTAATTAAATATTATTAAAACCTTAAATTACTTAGAGTCAACATTTTTAATGATGTTTGGACAGGTTCCCAGTTAGCTAACTATTGACCTACTGCTGCTCCGTGTTTGCCCACAATACACCACGCTAATTGTAAATACAATATATTCATTTGTACAGCACCACTATTTCTCCAGGACAACTGGAACATGTCAGACTGTTAGCAGGCTTGAACAACATCTCACATTTACTGAAAGAACATGCAAACATCAAGCTGCAGAAGGAAAAGCAATCCTAGAATCCACATTCCTACTGTAGTACAACCACATATCTACTGTAAGAGAACCACACCTCTCAAGTAAACAGATTTTTTAGTTTACTCAAACTTGGGCATCTTTGAGCTCTGATGATACTAGCTATGTAAAAAAGATCTCGTGGCTAAAGAAGGGCTCAGGTCCCACTGGACTTTGGACTGAGAAGGCCACTCCAAAAACCCAAGAAAAGGGAAAGCAAAAGCAGCAAGGCTTCTGTTAACAGAGGCTAGATTTGAGTTAGAAGAGTGAGAAAAGTAGCGCTTCCTATTCTTCAGCTGACTCTCTAGAGAGTCCCCTGTCTACTTGTACATTTAAAGTCTTTCAAAATGAAATCCCATTCGAATGTTTGATTTAATAACGATGCTTAAAAATTGTCTATAAAACATTTCAGTGCAAGGGAAGAAAAGGAAGTCATACTGCATTTCTTTCAAAATTGCTAGCTGAACTGTATTAAAGAAGTACACTCTATTTGTACTTACTTTGTGATATACCACCATTCCTATTTGGAATATTTTACTATTCATATCCTGAAATACATAATTTAACTAAACAAAGCATAGAGGCAGAGAATATGTACTTTTCCTGTTACTGTTCAAAATATTTTGCAATATGAGATAACTGTCATCATGGCACTGACAGAGCAGTAATTATTTCAGTAAACTGTAACAAGTGAATTTTAAAAACGTATGAGTGGATGTTTTCATTAGTTACTTATGCTTCACACATGCAGTACTGCCACCACCGTTACTCTCCAACACTTAGGTGGACATGGATGCACCCTTGTGAGTTCAGCACAGAAGATCTCTCATACTCCAGCCCCCCACCCCAAAAGAACAACCACATCTGGCAAAAAAAAAGCCACTTTCTCTGACTTGATTCTTTCCAGTTCAGCTATCACTCAATTCTTACACATTAAATGGCTGTAGACAAAACCTAAGATCTAAGAAAGATGAAGCACTCTTTCTACAATAGCTAGGATGACTTGAATCCCTACTAACACTTTAAAGCACCTCATTTGTCTTCTGAAATTCCTCTTTTTGTTCTTATCAAAACATGAAGCCTGTAGTCCACATAAAAGGATTTGTGTGATCCCATCCTTTCTACGCCACAAAGGCAAAACAGAAGTAGAAAACCCAGGAGTTTATTGCAGAGACAGCACCTTCTTCAGCCTGCCATCTCTGGAAAGCTTTAGCCAGCACTGCACAGGGACAGTCAAACTGATTAATACTACAAGTCTTAGGCTCCCAAACTTGTGTTGAGCATGGCAGTGACAGGAGAGCCAAGTTCAGGGCCTACCACAGACATACATCAAGCTGGTGGGCGCGTGTCTGATCTAAATGGATCCTTGTCCATCCCTAGCAATTATGCTGTCAGGAAGGCTTCACAGAAGTTAACAGCGTTACAGCTTCATTCAGAAATAAATGCTTTTACCACAGAGATCAAGAGAAAGATACTCATGTTCTACTGCATTAGTTGCAGAAGGAGGATCAATGGAAACTGATTCTCTGAGGAAAGGCAACAAAGAAATCAAAAAAGACGCATCAGAAGGATTAGAAGGGACAGTGACTTTAACTTACCCACAGGAAACACAAGGAGAGTATACAAATGGCCACAAACCAAGTGTGCGAAATTAATGAACTGGTATTACATGTCTCAGCAGAAGACTAAGAAAATAGTAGTGAGTCCACCAGAGGACTGGGGTTTGAAGTGGCATTTTAAAAGACAGTCTTCACCCATTAAGCTGATGTGAGAAACAGTGTAAAGACAGCAAGAAGACATGTTAAATTTTCACATTTGCACACTTGTGATATGAGAAACATAAGTAAAAAATATTTCTGATCAGCTCATCACAATGCTGAAGTAATTCTTCTTGAAGACATGCTGCATGCCAGAGCTCCCCCATCCTGCCAAGGCAGCTAGATCACACACTCATCTAAGACCTGATGATACATTCATTACATTCAAAAAAAGAAAAAAGTTATGTCATTTTGGTGAGCTGTTGTATTTTTCATGAAGTCAATGCTCTTATTTCTTAAGTTATTTACACATTTTACAGAAATATCGACTATATTTTGAAGTGAAGAACCACGTAAGGGGTCCTAATTAACTAATTTTTGCAAGAATATCTCCAAGAAATAAACAGTAACAGCTCTACGTGTGCTGTGCAAATGATGTGTCACATGTCAAGGTGGAAATACACTATTAACTTCAGGAAGGCTTACATCCAAGCTATACAGCTGTATGACCACTGATTAAAATTGGGCAGAAAAATGCTCCCGATTTCAAGTCCAAGGATTACAACACCCAGCTTCCCATAAAAGGCAGTGAAAGATGCAAGCTTCACGAACATGTTCACCTGGTCTATCTTTGGCACTTGGGTGCTCTGAGTCACACTCTCTCCACCGTCCCAGCAAGCCTTCCTGCTGCTTTGTGGGCTACTCATCTGGCTCTTCAGATGAACAGGTGTTGGCTGCCTACAGAAAATACTGCAAGAAGCAAGAACATTCTACCTGCACACCCACATTTCTTGTTTCTGTCTGGTAAACACCTGAACAACTCACAAAAAAAGATAAATCCAAATCTTAGGTGAAATTTCAATGACAACATCTAGTGAGATTCACTGGTGTGGAGGGTGAACCAAAAGTCTGAAGTTATTATCAAAAAGTCTTAGGAAAGAATGCAGGAGAAACACTATTATCTTGATTAACTCTACAAGAAGATGCGTATCAATACAGTTTCAGTCTCTCCGTCTAAGACTGAAGCTCAAGCACCCAGTTTGGTGTACTGCTATTTCTAAGGAGACAAAGAATAGAAGGATGAGGGCCACGTTTTTCTGTCACATCTAAAGCTGAGCTTAGAAGAGCAAGGAACTGCAATAATTTAGCTTCTACTTTCTCTTGTAAGATGTCCAATAAACCTGCGAGAAGTAGGCAACTATTACACACAGCTTCATGCAGTTGAGAAAAAGTATAGTTATTTCCACTGTTTAATTCGCCACATGCCATATCTAAAATATAAGTATTTTAACTGAGAATACAGTTGTGTATAACCATTATCCATACAGTTATAAAATCAATGCGGTAGAGCAAAAGCCTCCAGCTCCCCAGATTTGGCAGTATTTCAAAGCATGATTCAAGTATTGTGCCTCCCCTAACTCCTATGGCAAGCTTACTCTGCATTAAGCAACTGGTGCTCCTTTTTCACTAAGTCTGCAGTGGTGAACTAGTGCACGCTGCAGAAATGTCCTTCTGCCAGCAGCAGCCATTATGCTGACTATATCTGATCGCTGGATGTAAACAGCAAAATAGAACTATCAATTGTTGGAATGTTCTAGGTCTGAGTATCACTCAGACCTAGATTACTTTTAATCTTGTTGCATGTGGAAAGTTCTATCGTAACGCCCTAAAAATAAAAATAAATTGTAATTAAAATCAATGAAAATTAGTAAATCAATACTCATAATTTTTAGTTTGTGTGAAGAAGGATGAGGCAACTGAGTAACATTTAGAAGCTTTTCTACTGAGGAGATCCTAAAAGCTTCTGTTTGTTCCATGAGACTTGCAGTTTTCCAGAATTGGTAGTCTGACCTAGAGAGGGTAGCAGCTTTTTCTCTTCCTTTTGTTTCATAAAGGTATGCAGAAATTGTTTCAAATCTAGAGTGTCCTTGGAGTCTCTCTGACAAAATAACAAAATACATACCTCAGTCTCTGAAATTGTAAACAGCAACACTAAATCTGTATTTTAAATATAACAATTAAAAACATCTCTAATTTGAGGCATCTTGAGCAAACTTGCTTAAATCCATCATTTTAGTAGCTTTAAAGCTCATTCTGGGAAGCTGCTTTTGGTCAGTTTCAACTAATAGCAAGAAGTATCAAATTTTGAGCAATTTGCATGCCATGGCCAAACAACCCATTTTCCACTATTTAATCACAGAAACAGTCATTTCTGCACACATGCATACATACGTATATATTCTTCTAACATCTTTACATATCATAATATCATCTATGTATCGTTTTTACATATTTTTCTGCAGCACCAAGCCAGAGCTTTGCCCAAGAATACGCATGTTTTTCCATTTGCTTGGGCAGGTAGGTCAATTAAAGCGTCAGTGTTGCAGAGGTACCTCAGTGCACACCTTCGTGCATCAGCCCTCCTGGGCGTGCCGTTCCACCTACGTGTGATTTATGTTGTTTGTTTAGCTTGAGGCTCACAGGCTGCTCTTTCAAAATTCTCTAACCATGCCAGTCCGCAGTTTCTCTCCAGCTCAAAAACTACATTTGTGCCAGTGCTGCCTATCCTATCTACAGCATGATCAGTTTTCTTAGAAGTACACACATATTAAGCAAAACACAAACACCGGTCTAAGGAAACAGCATTTCCCAAAGGTGATATCAAACGTTTGTTTAAGTATGTGCCCCTCTTTTTCTGGGAGCTCCTACCACAGCCCTGCAAACACACGGAGCATAATAGTGTGTATACTTGACAGTATTCATAC